ATAACCGGATTAATTAAAATGGTATCAAAAACCAACAAATTCTGGACGATACATAAATTTTGACTCTCAATAACCTCACCATGTGGAGCGTAACACTGCATTAAACTTATTAAGAAGTGTTTAACATTAGCTATGCAATTTTTCACAAGGAAAATGAAAAAAAAACGCTTATTGGTATATTAACGAAAAACAGTTTCCAATTAATATTATCAAATCTTTTATAAAAAAGCAAAAACTCTTGATAGTAGTAAATCGGATAATGATCCTAAAATTTTTATATCTATTGTTCTCCGAAAACCTTCAAAAATCAAAATGCTACAATATAACATAATAACACATAAAGTAGCATTAAAACCTACAAATACCTCAAAAAATTTGTTTAATAAAATGAAAACACCAATAGATAAGATGGACCAACATATTTTGGTGTATAAAATTCAATTATGATTGGCACAACAAAAAAGAAATTTAAAACGAGAATTTCTGGATACAAATGTGATCTGAAGAGTCGCACCATACCTATAGACCAAAAAACAGCACTAGCAAGACATTATATCAAAATGAACCAAACTAAGATAAAATATTATATCCTAAAGCACTGACAGCGAAAAAAAGCAAGCTGTTGTACGAGATATTTTCTTTACAGGATCACTGCTTGTTAGTTGCTATATTTGTTACTCCTGTCCTAGTGGTGGCTCACTTGCGTTAAAGGGGTGAGAATATTTTCGAGATAAGGTATGGCTGTCGTAAGAGGCGATTAAGATCCCGGCACCATTCCAACACTGTTTGGAGTGTAAATGGTAGTTAGTGAGATTCACTTGCGATACCCGACTGAAGGTGTATGTTCTTGGAATTTCTAATGGAGTTTTTATTGGAGCATTATGTTGACACGTGTGTTGTTAGAACACACCTCAATTTATGAGGTTTGAACAATAATGTTGAAACAAATTTGGAAAGTTTTGTTAGTTGTGTGGTATTCAACACATTCACACCGTTTTTTTATCATCCCTTATTCTAAATATCAGAAATAAATAAAAATATTAATAATATTTATTAATATAAATTAATAAATTATTTAATATATTAATATATTAAAAAACTTTATTTATTTTTAAAATAAATAAATAAATAATAAATAAAATAAAATTAAATAATATTTTACTTATTTATATCATTTTTTAAATATCTACATATTTATTTTTTTCGTGTATACAATAAAACAAAGTAAAATATAATATTTATTAATTGAAATTATTAATGTTTTAATTACAATTTGAGTTCCTCTCCAAAAGTTGAATTTATTTTTAAAATTAGTATAGAAATGTCCTTCAATTAACAAACTGTAATAATAGTTTATAATTGCGCATATGTTATAATATACGAAAATAATAATTTTAATAAAATACATCAAATATAAATTTAAATATATTATATTTATTATAATAATTTTATTAAAACATATTCGAAAAACTGATATTAAATTTATTAAATAATTTTATTATAATAATAATTTTAGAGGGGTTTTGAATAACAAAGAAAGAAATAAAGGACAAACACAAAAATTTATTTTAATTTTATTGAAGTTTAGCTGACCATGCAACGCTGTTTCGAGCATTGCCAAGTACTCTTCATCAGTGGTCTTTGGAAATAATCGAATTTTATTTAATTAGTTTATAGTCCGTATATAATTTGTTCGGACTGCAAGTGCCAGGCTTAGAACTCGTGCCTGTCAAATTAAAAGCGATGACTAATCGTGTTTATCCACAAGAAGGCTGCACAAACTTTCAATGCTCAAGTTCCAGGTTTTATTAAGTTCCAACTAATTAAATAAAATTCGATTATTTCGAAAGACCACTGATGAAGAGTACTTGGCAATACTCGAAACAGCGTTGTATAGTCAGCCAAACTTCAATAAAATTAAAATAAATTTTTGTGTTTGTCCTTTATTTCTTTCTTTGTTATTCAAAACCCCTCTAAATTTGAATAAAGCTGCTTTGTCACCATACAAAGAAAGTCTAGCTTTACAGCAACACGAATACTTTATTCAATAATAATTTTATTAAAAAATACTGAAAAATCTGATTATTATAAGTTACTTACATTTTAAATAAAACTCTTTTTAACTTATCTGCCACATAATTTGCTTGGGAAAGATTTTGTGCAAAGAGGTAAAAAACTCCCATTTACATATGATTTAGAATAGGGGACCTAAAGTGAAAATACTCCCATTCCCATGTGATTTAGAATAGGGGTGTATATGTTCCAACTGCCGCTCTATTTATGACCTTACACTTACATTCTACCATTCGAATGTATGATAAAGTTGAACGCTACTGAGGTGACAAGATTTTTCACTTGGATTCATGTTTAGCCCAACCTACTTGTCCTTTCTCTATTCTTACATTTACAGTTCTCTACTTGTCCCATGAAGACATCGCCAAGCAGTGTCACAGACCTATTACATAATACAAAAATCAACCCATTGCTGTATTTACTTGTAACGTTATGTTTTTAGAAGGACACCTATAACTAACTAACTATAATTAAATTAATTTATTTATTTTTATTATATATCCATAAATTTCTGCTCGCAAAAGTTTAAACTTGAATCGAAAATATTGTGATTCAGTACAACCCTGTTGGTTAATGAAGTTTGATACGGGTAAAAAACAAAACAGAAAATGTACGAAAAAGCAAAGCAACAATTCCATACATAAAAACTAATATATTTATTTATTATGCAAATGCTAAATTAGAACAAGCTTTTTAGAAATGCAAACAGGTGTACACATTACCAATGCCAAAAGTAGAAGGGGAATTACCAAAAAAAACCAAACGCCACTGCTTGTTATATGTCAAAATTCTGCTGTCAAAAAGCTCTAAATCAGTGATGCCATACTGCTTGGTTGTTGTGCCAAATCTCAAACAGAAAACAAATAGTAAATTACGAAAACAAATAATATTATTAATACTTATTATTAGTTATTATAAAATTTAATTTTTACGTAATTTCACGTTATTAGTTACATAAAATTTATCTTTTTAAAAATATTATTTCCTTCGGAGCCACGAATTTTTGCACGAATTGTAAGAATTGAATTACTTTTATAGTCTTTGTTTCGCTTTGGTTTCATTAAATTATAATATATCTAGTTATTCTAAATAATTTTCTCGTGAATACTAAAAGATAAATGGAATAAATTATAATATTATGTATTTGGGTCGGAAATACGTAAGAAATTCATTGACGTCAATAAAATGTTATGCTTAAGCTGAACGTGCTATATATTCATACATC